GCCATCCACTGGTTCCAAAATCACCGGTTTGGAAAGAAGCATCCTTCCGGTACCGATGGCTTCGCGGCGCTGCCGACCGATGTGGAAAGCCAAACAAAGAATGAGAAACTCGCGGATATATATATATATATGTATTATTCATGCGCGTCACTTCGGTAGCTCCATTTCATCATCATACACAAAGAACTTTGTTTAAATGAATGATGGCCAGTTATTGAAACGCAGTTCGAAAAATGTGGGACCTACAGGCACGCCGCAGCAAGCACCTCACCAGTCGAATGGTACAAATCATAATATATCAGAGGAGGTTAAAGTGATTTTTTCTCACGCTGTACCGGGGCTCATGAAACCAATAGCCATGACAACGCTGTTGGTTCAAGAAAGTTGGGATTTTATTACTGATTCTTCCCTGATTCAGGTTGCTTAACCATGTATTCCGGTTGCCATTTGGTTTCGGTAAAAGACAGAGTGAGTCCACGAATTGTTAGTAATTTGACCAAGGGCCACAACATGGGTCAGGCGTTGCCATTCGTAGTTTGGAGAATTCAGAGAACATGTAACATTTGCCTGAATGTTTTACAACCTACGGTGATACTACTGATGGGGAGGATGTGAGTAGTATGTTTTCTCGTAAATTCGCTTTGCATCTCTTCAAAAGTGAGATCTATTACGGAATTTGTGGAGTCACAGTTGCTTGGATTTGAGCAACAGTCAATGAATATCCAGGAAAGTTCAGGAAGACGCGTTCAAGGGGAGGATGGATATTGAATTTTTGTAAACAAGATGTCCGAGCGAGGCTTGCTTTCCTGTCCAGTAGTCTGTAACTCTCAGTTGAGAGTTTCTAATAGATAACTCCTCAGCGAAGGCCCCCTTCCTCTCACCGGTAGCTCATTTTCGAATGAAACAAACAGCCGAAAGACGAAATATATTTAAGTAGTAAATGAAAAATGAGGACGATCCAACCAGGGCGAATACAAGAGATGCAGGTACACAAAAAAGGACATAAAAATGAAAGACTAATTTTGAGTAAAAATTTTCACCCTGTAGGCACCTGAAACTAGATGATGCCGACAAATTGTAGAATTTCAAAGAATCCGAACTGGAATTTCTACACAGACCATGGTCCGCCCAGCCCCATTCTTCAATATCCACTGGAGAGGGAACTCCATCTGGAAGGTGTAATGAGAGGTGAGCTTGAATTGGAAATATAAACAAATATAAACAACAGAAACAAATTGTTGTTCCGGTAATCCTTCGTATGTGAGGTGGGCTGTCAATAACTGCGGTGCATTTGGTGCAGTCAGTGTGAATTTGTTTGCTAGCCACCAACATAAGGGATCTGTTTAGACTCACTGGTGTACGCGAATAATCGATATAGATGGACTTGCTATATTTGTACTCCTCTCCCTCCTTTATCGCACACCGCGGCCGAATGTCTCCACAAATTTGTGGTGTACCCAGTGGAAACGGGACCGGTCGTCCCCATATGATGCCATTCACCTCGACTTGACCGAAAGATCCCACCCATCCATCTACAAATCAACAATTTTTCATTACTCAGTGATCGCCGTACGGATAGGTATTAGCTTGAAAAGCTTAGTGACGGGGCTTACCTGCTCGGAAGTGAATGCGAAAAGTATACACACCTCCCCTGAGCAGTATACATTGCTCACGGCCGCACTGATCCACACTGACTGAGATTATTGGAACACGGGATCCTGTATAAAACAAATGTTACGTCTGAGGAGTGTTCATGTTAGTTGTTGAGCTGTATTGCAAGCAACATCACAATCGGGCATCATTAACAACGGGAGTTTGCCCTGGAAAACTAACTGCGTCTAGCAACGCTCCCGGCAAACTAAAGTCAATGATGACTGCGTGATAAGGAGCCACTCGTAAACCTACCGCAATCTTTGTAGATCACACCCTGAGCATGGGCGACTATCAAGATGGTGGTGACCAGCAAGATCATGTGTTGAACTGGCATGATTGTGGGACTAGAACAGACTCGCTTCAGTCTCATCATTCCTTTTATACGTACACTGACAATGATCGCGCACTTGTTAGCAAGATCATGTGTTGAACTGGCATGATTGTGGGACTAGAACAGACTCGCTTCAGTCTCATCATTCCTTTTATACGTACACTCACAATGATCGCGCACTTGTTGATGGTTAAGTATGGGCAAGTAAGTAGGTGGCTCTCAACCGACCAGGTGGGTAGGGCGTTGCCAGACAATCAAGGTGTGTTTATTGACCTTCGGTGTAATTCTCACAATCTATTGTGATTATGCAAATACGATTGTCCATTTTGTTCGGTCTAATTTTTCGTGTGAACTGAAAATTCACCTACAAGGCATCCGTGACTTGTCGCCTTTGCCTGTACTTTTCGATGGATTTTACCAAGATCTTCGTATAGCCCAGGGAAATAGATCAATACAGTCATTCGTCGCGAAATCGTCACATTTACAAAATTATTTTGTACTGTGATAACCTTTGCTTAAGCGCGTCCTAACGAATTCTATTTTCAAGACAAAATTAGGAGAACACGATCTGTGTGCTTCAAGGTTCCTGCTCCATCAATCCGGGTCTGCTGCTGAGTATTGCCAGAATGCCAGTTCATGTCGTCAAACCGAAGCTTATGTGACAGGGGCTCAAATCCCGGCACGGCCATTGGATATGCACTGCTGATGAGCTCTAGCAAGAGCGAAACTCGAGTCCAGTGCTTCCCTTTGGTGTGGACTCACCGGAATAATTGCACCAGAACAGAAGCTGAAGTTGTGATGAGGAAACGGCTTTTTACGATCAATGACCACGTAATGATCCATGTGAAGTGCAATTTCTCGACAGGCAGATGAACGAGAGTCAGGCGAATACCCGGTTCATATATCCAGGGGATATTGTCATTTCTGAAGAGGTATTTTTTCCGGAGTTGTGTTGCAGGAATTAACAATATTTACCGTTGGAGGTTTCCGACCAGGATTTCTCTGAGAAAACGCGGCCTTCGGAGGCCTATTTTCTATTCAACATTTTCCTAGTCCCTTTAGATGCGAAATTCGGATTAAGTCTTGACCTATTTACAGTGCGCAAGTTTCTGACTAACTGGGAACCAAACGTAACAGTTACCCCAATGAGTAACAATCCACAGTTCTTCAAAAGCGACTCTAAAATTGTTGAAATCAGCCAAACACAGATTTTGTTCGTGCATCGCGGATACTTTGACATCCGTTACGGAAATGTCAACGCACCATTTTGTGCAAGATTACTGAGATTAGTTTAATTAGAAAAACTACTCACAAGGTTGCTTAAAAACTCTTCGACAGCCCACGACCGGTTCTTTTCGGCCTGATCTCTCGTGAATGTATGTCCAACTTTACAACATGCGCATGGTCATTTTATACAAAAACGGAGCTGCGGCGGGCATTCCGTTGTTTTGAAACTGATTGTGGGCTGATTATCCCTGTGTGGATGTTATAGGAAAGATAGTTCAAACACTTATTAATTGGATATGAAGGTGACAACTCTTCTTGGGTCTTCCACTTCCACCGACGCTACAGCGAGCTTCTATGCGGACGCAGAAACCAACAAGTTTTTGATCTTCTGGATTTTCAATTGACAAGGCATCAAGACAAACCATACAAGAAGGGCGTATATCGGAAATGCAGTCGACCGGCCTAGTGCATCACAATTTTCTAGAAAAGAGAAATAATAAGAACTTGATACATTATCTGGACCAGATATCCTAATGGAATGAGTGTATTTCTCGAACAAAGTCCAATCTAGGTTCAAGTAGGACATAAGGTTGACGGAAACTCTGAGACTGTGCCTACCTGATGAGCCCCAAGAAGGACGAAACCGGTCGTGGGCTGTCGAGGAGTTTTCAGCAACCTTGTGAGTAGTTTCCTTCATGAAAATATACTGCGATATCTCGAAAATCGTGCCAACTGAATCATGAGGCGGCCTATGTGCAGCACATTCAGTTGCAGAATATCATAAACGAGAGATGCAGTTGAGTCTCCAGTGAAAACCAAATTGATTTGCAAATGAGTGTATTTCTCAATTGTTGAGATTACCTTCGTTTTGTAGAGTTTAGCAAGTCGGGATTGAAAAAAGCATTCACACGAAGAGAAAATTGCTTGGGCTTTCTTTTCAATGGTGATGAAGGTAGTAAACGTTAAAAAAGAGGACTATGCCACAGTTTGATCTCGAAATCATGTCAACTATGAAGCACAAATAAAAAGTATTCAACATGCATAAGGCTCGGTTGGTGAACTAGTTACCAGAAGGCTTGGAAATTCGGTTGATACTGTATAAATGATCATGCTTGAGTTCCAGTTCCAGCCATAGTAAGGGATCCCATTTGAAGCACACCACTATCTTCAGTCCGCTTTTGTATGCTTCTGTATGCGCATACCAAGAACCATATACTGATATTACTACAAGGTGTTCTTCGGACAGAATACGAGAACATGACCCCGCGTCCCCGCTTGGTGAGTGGAAGAAAGCTAGCTGAAGTTCAGTAGAGTCATACTTGTCCGAATCAGTCCTCATCAGCACCAGCATGCTTTCGATGTTGCATACCAAGTTAACGGTGAACTGATCTCAACTGTTATGATCCAGCCTATAATCGATTGCCAAGGCAAATGAATTTCGAATGCATGACCCACAGCCTTGCGTCGAAAGGCGACTCGCGCAACTCATGACTCTGAGTTGGCCAGCGCATCACCCGTTCGCACATATTTGACACTGATGTCATTCATTTGGTCCTGTGACTCACTAAATCGAGTGCCTCCATTCCCCTTTGTTCTCTTCTTAAAGAATATGTGCCTGTCATTTTCACGTTACCGTTCAGGTAAACAGCGTAAGTAGAGAAAAATATTGAGGGGAGAAAATCTGTAATTCAGAGCTCGAGTATTCAAAACGGACTCCATCGCTGAAAGGCATTCGCTTTGAGCTGGAAAACACCAGAAAAAGTTAGTTGGACGAAACTTGTGTTCACGCATTAAGAACGTGTGCCTCAGAAATCCCCGTACCACTCCGTCATTTGTTCAGACGCATCATAGAGGAATTCCGCACGCCAACACCCAAAGCCTGTCAACCTAGTGTTAGCCCAAAAGTACACTCATTTTACTGCATTTATTTATTGTCGAAAGTGCTAGAACCACTAATGCTCGGCAGGATGAGGCTCTTTCCAATTGTCTTCAGTAGTCATGTGTATACCACGCAAGTTTGTTGATCTCCATTGCAACGTTTTAGTGGATTTGACTTCCATAACAACGGGTTTCCGGTTCTGCGTCATGGAGGTTATCAGTACATTTGGTTCATTCATTCCCCCAAGCGCATCAGTCTTCGTGGTCGGGCTTTGAAATACCCTCTGTATGAACCGAAAACACCAAGTTCAGATTTTCGTGAGGTTATCAGTACCAAGGAATTCGCCATGCCCCAGAGAGCTGTTTTGTTATTGTATATGTAAATTATCGATAAACTTCGAAATCTGACAGGAATGCACAATCACCATCATCATCATCATCATCATCATCATCATCATCATCAACAGTATGGCATCAGTGTTCCACACTGATGCCCAGCTGCCATACAACTTCATGGAGGTGTTCTACGCTAATGTTCAGTCAGGAGAGTAATGCTGTATGTCAGTGATCGAAAGATTTCGTAGTACGGTTTGACCAGTCCAAATCCCACGAGATTGTTTTAACTTCGAGAAGTGACAGACATCTTGAGACTAGTTTACCTACTGTGCCCCCAAAATCTACCAACGATCGCCCACGACCTCTGGTAGATTACACGTAATATCTCGGAATGATATCTACTGTGGTTTGACATGGTATGAACGTGTCGACAACATCTTCGTTCGAATAGGATGAGTAGGATAATTCATGCGATGACCTCTCCCATGAAAATGTTCAATCCGATTATCGAAAATCTAGCGTATGAAGTCACCTTGTCGATTAATCTGTATTGCCTGCTGGTCGTTTTAATCTTACTTCTGAAGAAATGACTCTAACACTATCAAGCAGGACGATCGGCTTTTATCAGTAACCGGGAGCGATCCCCATAGGTTCGTTGTAGATTGAGATGGAAGTCTGTGTACGGATACCTCTTTAAGGCTAACGGTGCTTTCGACACCTTTTACCTCTTGATATGAAAGATTAACTTTGAATTGATTTTACG